TGGGTTAGCATCCCAACTCCTGGTCAACACCAGCTTATGTTGGGTGTACAAGCCAAGTACGTCGTGTGTATGCAGTCTGTGGGCCTAGAAGATTTTTGGGCTCGTTTGGTGTTAGGCTTTGGACTTGAGTAAGTTGGGTCTTAGGCACACCTGATAGTAGCATGCCATTTTTGGGCCTTATGCCAATTTCGGTGTTGTTGGGCTATATTAGGCCTTAGAGACCCTATAGAGGGCTTGGATGCCTTTTGGGGGTTTTTTATGGATTTGGGCATTAGAGAAAAGGAGGCCCAATAAGGCAAAGGTAAAGGAGCCCTTTTTCCTTAAGTCAAGAATTAGGGTTTTGGACTTCGGGTTAGAATGTGATCCAATTTCTAATTAGGGTTTTATTCTTGTGTGAGAGGGAGAGGAGTTCACGAGTCATCCCCTGAGTGCGATTTCATACCAACAGTGTGAGGTGACTGTTCCTTCGCAGTATATGTGGGTCAAAGGCATAAAGGTCGGCCCACTAGTTTATGATGTAGTGTGATGATTATCTTTGTGACAATTGTCTGTTATGCTTGTATTTTCTTGATGACTTTGTGATTACTTTTATGATATTATGTGGTAGTATTAGGAGGTGAAATAGGCCTAGTATACGGTTGAGACAGACCGAACGGGTAGGCAAGCACCCAAATATGCTTGACAGTATCCGGTAGAAATAGACCAAAGGGTTAGGCAAGCACTCAAATACGCTTGATAGTATCCGGTAGAAATAGACCGAAGGGTTAGGCAAGCACCCAGATAGGCTTCATAGTATCCAGTTGAAATGGACCGAAGGGATAGGAAAGCACCCAGATATGCTTGGTTCTATGTTTATTTAGTATATGGTATTGTGGGGAACTCACTAAGCTTTGTTCGTACAGTTTTCAGTTAAATTTTTAGGTACTACCAGTTCGAAGGGGAAGGGCTTGGCCTGATCGCATCGTATCACTCTATGTTTTTCCACACTTAGTGATTTTGGGAATTTGTACTTTGATAACATGTTACAATTATACTCTTTCGACTATTTTGATATCAGCTTATTATGAATTGAATGAATTTAAAAATAAGTTTTTATCTATATTTTTGGGATGTTACAAAACTCTTTTGGTCTCAACAATATTCCTCCTTTCGATGAGCACAATTTGGCCATGTGGAAAACGAAGGCCATGGTTGTGCTTGAAACCATGGACTATGAGATACATAAAATTGTTGAAAAGGTCCTCATGTTCCTATGTATCAACCTATAGCCAACATTGCTCCTGTTGGTCCCTTGAAGAAAAAAAACTAGAAACTAGCTATGACGACGATGACAAGTGACTAACTAATATAGATGTAAATGCTAGAGGAGTGATACGAAACTCTTTTCCCTATCACATGTATCATCTTGTGCAGAATTGTGACTCATCCTAAGAGATGATGGAAACGTTGACAGTGGCTTATGAAGGCATTGTGGAAGTTTAGGGCACGACCACCAACAACCTTAATTGAAGATATGAGCATTTATTTACTCAACAGGGTGAGTCCTTAACCTAAACCTTTAATAGGCTTAAATATTTTGTTAATGATATGCATAGGTTGGGAATTATCAAGCATTATTCTCGGCTAGTTCTAAAGTTCCTCGACTCTCTTGGGAAAATCGGGGAACATCACGTTGATGTCCTTAAGAATAGTGTAAAGGTCAATGTCATGGATCTGAATTCCCTATTTGGAAACCTTCAAAACTACAAAGAGACTAAAGCTCTTCACAAGGATATCATGAAGAAATCAAGCAATGAAAAATATATAGCATTGGTTTATCGAAAAGAATCAATGAAGCACATCAGCGATTCAAATAACTCATATCAGGGTGAAGAGAGTGATGAAGATATCACGAATGAACTTGTATCCAACATTGTACTTATTATTAAGTGTTATGAAGAAATCAGATCAAATGGGGGCCTAAGAGCTTAGTTCAAAGGAGACAGTTCAGAGAAAATATCCATGTCATAAAAGAAAAACTCAGGTAACTGTTTTAACTATGGAAGCCTTGACCATTTTGTCAGGGATTGCAAAGAGAAGAAAGAAGCTCAAATTTCTGAGAATTATGAAGTGATGTATAAGAAGCTGATGGCTCATATGAAGAAGGAAAACATATCTTTTCCAAGAGCTTTCAATAAGAGGATCATGAACAATGGGTTAAAGAAGAGGAGACATCTGAGGATGAGGGGGCTGAATGTTAAGGGTCTAATGGCTCTTATCAATGATTCCCCTGATGATAATCTTAACATGTGTGACTGATAAACCTTGTGCTATCCATGGATCAAGTCTAAATCTAGTATATACTTGGTACCTAGACAGTGTGTGCTCTAGACACATGATCGGTCTCAATTCCCTCTTAACAGATTTTGTGAAGAAAGATGGTACAAAGGTGGTTTTGGTGACAACAATGAAGAAGGTTTCATGGGAGTTGGAACTTTTGATTGCAGAGTGTTCAAGCCGAAGGGGGTGTTCTATGTCAAAGGCCTAAAAATCAATCTCATCTCGCTTAGTCAGCTTTGGGATGCTGGTTATAAAGTTCCTTTTGATTTCCATGAACGAAAGATTTTTTATTCTGAAAACAAAATTCTGCTTACTGCACTCAGGGATAACAACATTTATATGTTTTGATTTTTCTTATTTTGACAATCCTACTTTATTTGTCTTTACTTTATGCTTCGCTACTTTAAAACTTCTGAACATAAGCTACTAGAATTTCAATTTTCTATGACTTTTTGCTTTAATATATTCTTTTTATTATTATTATTTTTACCAAAGAAGTATACATTGTACATTTTGCTACTAACATTGCCTATGTGTGATCTTCTCTCTCACCTTCTAAATGTATCAGGATCCTCTGTCTTCATCTAGACATTGATCTTAGCTAAAAAGATCAGCGTATCATTCCTTGAATGCATCACCCTCCTTGTAGAGCTAGTTGATGTTGACTCTGCATCTTTTCTTTACCACTAACTAATCTCTCACTGAAGTTGATGCCCATGCTGATTGGCAAGTTGCATCATGTTGATGAGACTAGATAGGAGAGAACTATGCCACTAAGTGTTCTTCTCAGAACATATCTCTTCTGTCTTGAACAAACTATTTATGTTTCAATAGGATGAAGTGAATTTAGGTGACATGTCATGTCTAATTTCCATTTACGTTGTCACTACAACACCATCCCCTCAGAGATCCAAAGGCGTCTTCAACAAGACAGTGGTCCCATCTCCTCTTCCTTCATGGATCACAACGAGTGGAACCTTTGAATTTTGTCTTGGTGAATCTTATAACTCAAAGGTTACAAAGATTCGATCCTCTTAACGCATTGGTTACAAAACCTGGTTCATGCTCTTCTTTCGTTCTTGGTGAACATGAAGCTTGGAATCAATCTACGAAATCTCAACGATTAAAGGCATTTTGTATCTTTGTTTACTTTGAATTGTGTTTTTATTTGATATGGTTGATCTTTTTTTCTCTCTTTTATAAACGGTTTCGAGGAGTAGATATATCGGAAAATGGAAGTTCATTTATGGACATTCAATTCAAAAGATTTGATGGATCGAGTCTTTATCATGTTTTTGAAAAAGCTACAAAAATATCGCTTTTAGAATATTTCCTTGTTTGACTAACTCTTTTGTTTTATTCTTATACTACTTATTAATTTTTCTTGTACCATACTAAATGAATTTGTTAAATGAGTTGTTGGTGAACTTTTTAGTTTTATACTGCAACTTAACTCTATGATACAAAAGTTAAACCACTTACTGTTGATGAGTTAATGCTATTTATGATTCATGTTGATTCCACCTCAGCATGACTGAAACAATCCATTCTTTCCTTAATGTCTTCTTAATAAATCTTAACGATTCAATGTGATATACCACACACTGATAAAGTTTGAACCTTTGTGTCGATGGTTAGTCTATGTATCGTAGGCTATCACACGCACCAACCCCTTCTTCCCCTTATATTCTTCTTTAAAGATTTATGATTCAATGTAATGTACCATACACTGATGAGTGCTTAAAAAATCTATGTTGGTGGTTAAGCTAAAACACCACAGCTTATCACACGCATCAAACCATTCTCTCCATAAATCTTCTTTAGAGTTTATTGATCCAGCGTATGATACCAGATGCTGATGAGAACTCATAAAATTTGTATCGATGGGTATATCATTGTCTGTGCCATATTACACGCACTTACTTACTCTTTCCCAACATTTCTTTTATTAGAAGTTAATTATTCACTTTATTAGCCATACACTGATAAAACTTCGATACTCTTTGCCAATGGGTACATTTCATACCGGAATGTATTACACGCATCATACCACTATTTCCCTTCTCTTATAATAAAAGTGATTAATTAGTCAGTGTATGAAAGTACATGCTAATAAGATCTCGCAATACTATGTCAGTGAACGTTATTTTAAGTCCACACTATCATGAGACATCACATTTTTGTTGATTTAAAAGTTGCAATTTTGATATGATGAATGCTTCTGCTGATGACCATTGTCGCTGATTCCATATCTCATTGATGAAATTTCCTTATCTCAACGGGAACTTTTTGGATGAAAACTAAAAGGTCTATCAATATCTTGAGATATGAGATTTTTACAGCGCATATCTCTTCAATCATGATTACGTACAAAGGAAAAAACTGTTTGGTATAAATTGGGAATTCTCCGTCCTAGGTCAATTTTACAATATATTCAAGCAATTGTCTTTCTCTCTCGAAAAAGGCTCGCTTAACCTTCATCTTCCTCAAAGCTCTCACAATGTTAAAGCCTCTCTACGGTTTTTCCCCTAATGTTGATGCTGTCAAAGGTCCTCATGCCCCTGATTCTCCCATCATCATTCAATAAAACAATGTGGCGTTCTATGATGACATTCCAAAGCAGTTCACAAACTCAAGAATCGAATATTTCATTGATTATGTTATAAGTTTCCCTCTTCGATATGCCTTCTGCGACTTCCCAAATCCATTCTACTGTAAACAAGTATGTGAGTTCTATTATTCATGCTCTATTGATTATGATGCTCAAACCATTATTGGAACCATTGGAGATGGTCAATATAGAGTTACTATTGATGTGGAAAATTTTTGAACTGCTCTTCTTCTTCCTCGATTACAAAATTACTCTGAAACTCCCTCAGAAGAAAAGTGCAAGTCTGTTCGTGGAAGGCTAGGGTATAATTTTAATCTTCAGGACACCACTCGTGATCCATACAAATACACTCTTCATCGGTATTTTGGTGTAGGATGGAATTACTTAATAGGGGTTATTGACAAGTTCCTTGGACACAAGACTCATAGCTTGGATCAATGGAATCTCTTCGAGCAAAGGATCTTGTTTTCTATTGTGTACAACAAAAGATTGTATTTTGCTCAACTTTTTCTTGAGCAGGTGATTGATTGTATCACTGGGAACAAGAAGCTAGTGTGTGTTCCCTATACCCGTTGTGTGTTCCCTATTCTTGTTGGCTCGGATTAATCTTGGCTATTGATGAAGGCTATTTTGAAAATCACGGGATCTCCATTCCCATTCCTACCCTCTCTTCCAAAATCATCAACACTGCTACTACTGAAGATGATTTGCATATTACTGTAAAGATGTAATAATTGATTGACAAACTAGATGTGGTTGAATCCTATGACTCTAAAGAAAATGATGATGAGGATGAGAGTAAAGAAGTCACCAACGAAGAGGTTGATGAAGAGAATGATGAGGATGATAGTGAAGAAGACATCGAAAATGATGAAGATGAATCAACCGCTAATAAGGGAGAAGACTTTGCTCAGGGGATGAACTATCCTCCTAGGATAAACAAGCATATTAAATTCTCATCCACTTCTTCATCAGCTCCATCTGCAGATGTTGTTGTATAACATGTATCAACCCAACCTCTAGTGGAAACTGCTAAACCAATGATCTAAGATTAGTGTCTCCTTCTCCTCAATTTGAGACTATTCCTCCTATGCCAACACCTATTAAGACCATTGCTTTTCATTAGGATGATCAGGAAGAATCCAACTCCAAATTTCAAACTGTTGTGCTTTCTCAGCTATCTAATAGTGTAGTTAACTCAATCGCTCGAAAAAAGGTTGACTAAAGTAGAAAATGATGTGTCTGATATGAAGCGTTTATGGGCTTATTTGATGATGATGTTGATGATATGGTTGTTAATGATACTCTATCAAACTCTCCACATGATAATCCTCCTCCACCACCACCCCATCACCAAATCCACATCCACCCTCATCATCAATTATCCACCATCTACAAATCTTCCTCCATCATCTAGTTCTCCTCCCTAATTTGATGCTTCAAAAAGGGGGAGAATAGTCAAGAGAGACATAGTCAACAAATGTAAACGGTGGTGATTGCACCAACTCCATCTCAGCCTGAGATGTCTGAAGTTGGAAGGGTTGAAGCTGATTTTTATAAGGAAATTGTTGTTACTGACATCATAGACATTGATGATGATCAACCTATTCTAGACACTGGTGATAAATCAGAGACCGATGACTATGAAGGTTTTCTTGATCTAAGATTCATGCCACAAGTTCTTGTTTCTTTATTCCTTTGAATGTTATCTACCATAAATAATACTTTGAGGGGAAGGTTCCTCAAGGAACTAATAGTGACATTGAGTTTGATAATGATCACCTCAATCCTCCAAAGAGGAAGGCTTCCTTCTTGGGGGGGGGGGGTGGCTCATGACACTAAAGCTATAAGTTCTTATGTTGTTGGTGATCCTTCATCACCTCCTCCTACCAAGAAAAGCATGCTCATTTTGATTTGAATGAATTGTCCAAAATAAGGTATATAACTATTGATGAAGTAAGAGAAATCATGATAGAGAATAATATTGCTATTCGAGAAAGAAAATAAGCCATAAAAGGAGAACGTTTGTTTGCCAAACTTCCTCAAGCTCTTGCTTCCGCTGATGAAAGTGCTGATGTTCAAAGCACTAATGATCAAGTCAAGAAAATTCAACTCTTTAACTACATCCACATTAGCCTTGCCCAGGTGATACAAGATCTTGTAGTCGTAGTCTTTCACTATATCCAACCACCACCTCTGCCTTATATTCAGGTTGGGCTAATACATGAGATACTTCAGGCTCTTATGGTCCATGTATATGGTACACCGGACTCCATACAGATAGTGGTGCCAGATCTTAAGGGCGAACACCACCGCCCCCAGCTCCAAATCGTGGGTTGGATACATCGTCTCATGAGGCTTCCGCTACCTCAATGCATATGCTATCACGTGCCCCCTCTGCATCAACACCGCACCCATCTTGGATATAGAAGCATCAAAATAAACCATAAAGTACTCCACTCTATCGGGAAGGTATAACACTGGGGCTTCGCAAAGTCCATGGCGAATGGTCTCAAATGAGGCCTGCTGCTCGGCCCCCAAGCAAAAGTAACAGCCTTCCAGGTTAATCTGGTGAGAGGGACGACAATCTTGGAGAAATCTCTGATAAACCTTCGATAGTAGCCGTCCAAACCTAGAAAACTCCTAATCTCAGTCAGGGATCTCGGAACCTCCCGTCTCATAACTGCCTCAATCTTGGCCGGGTCAACCAATATCTCATTCTGATTAACAAGGTGTCCCAGGAACTAGACTTCTCGTAACCAGAAATTACACTTGGAGAAATTGGCATAAAGCATCTCTGTCCTCAATAATCCAAGAATCTCTCTAATATGCTCTTCATGTTACTCTCTGGATCTCAAATACACCAGAATATCGTCGATGAACACGATCAACGGTCGATCCAACATAGGCCTGCACACCCGGTTCATGAGGTCCATGAACATTGCTAGTGCGTTGGTGAGTCCGAAAGGCATCATCACAAACTCGTAGTGCCCATAATGAGTCCTAAAGAACGTCTTCTGGATATCCTCCTTACAGACTCTCATCTGATGATATCTAGATCTTAAATCAATATTGGAAAACCAAGACGCCCCCTGCAACTGATCGAACAAATCATAGATCCTCGGTAGTGGATAATGGTTCTTGACTGTCAGCTTGTTCAACTCACAGTAATCGATACACATCTGGTGTGAACCATACTTTTTCTTGATAAAAAGGAACAGTGCTCCCCACGGTGAGCTACTCGGTCTGACAAAACCCCTCCCCAACAACTCCTAGAGCTGTGAGGATAACTCCTGCATCTCTGGTAGCACAAGGCGATAATGTGCCTTGGTAACAGGTGCCGCTCCTGTGACCAAATCAATCCAGAACTCCACCTGCCTCTTGGGAGGCACACCCGACAACTCCTCGGGAAAAACATCCGGAAACTCTCATACTATCGAAACCTCGTCGATAGAACTCGTCCTCTTTGTAGCAACCCGCGTATCCATCACGTACTCCAGAAATCCCATCCAAACCTATTGTAAACTCTATCTTGCTCTAGTAGCCCAGCAAAAAGTCGATCCAGATCTGGTACCCTCGCAATAAACCATAAGTACTCCCCCACTATGGTCTCATATAGTCACCATCTAACGCTCACAGTCGATCACAGATCCAAACTGACTCAACCAGTCCATGCCCATTATGAAACAGACATCACCCATCGCGATCGGTACCAGGTCCATCGGGAACTCAACACCAAAAATCTCTAGTACACACCCCCGGATCACATAAGTAGAAAAAATCGCATGCTCGTCGACTATAGAAAACCTCATAGGTCGACTCAACGCCTCACGTCGGATACTGATGTGACGACTAAAAACTAAAGACACAAAGGATCGACTCACACCCGAGTCAAATAACAACAAAGCAGGTACATAACTCACAAGAAAACTACCTATACACAGCACAATATAAGCACAACATATCTCAGCAGAATCTAAATAAAGAATATGTATTGGCCACGATGTCAGGTGTTGCGTGGACCTCCTCCGCTGTTAGCTGGAAGGCTCTCCCACGAACCGTCAGTGTCTCGACCTTCGCTGGCCGACTCTCAGTAGCATGTAAAGCAGCATGTGCAGAACCCTGTGTTGATCCCTGAATGAGTTGAGGGCATTCGGCCTTCTGATGGTCGATCTGGTTGCAGTGAAAGCAAATTGCAAACCCCTTGGGGCAACCCTTCGCTATGTGCCCCTCTTTGCAACATTTGTAGCGAATCTCCACTAGACAAGATACCTCGTAACTCTTTCCACACTTTCCATACATGCGGACCTTCTATCCCCCAGCTCTGGTATCAGTGGGCTTAGCCCGCTTCATCGCGGACTGCGACTACACTGGTCTCCAGTCCCTACCCCGAGACTGCTCCTCCTCCTTGGTCTGTAACTCCAGCTCAATCTCCCTCCGTCTAGCAATGGTCTGAAGCTCATCCAATGTCTGGCATGATGAGTTCGCCACAAACTCTCGTATATCCCTACTCATTATGCTCAGATATCGGCTCACACGTGCTTGCTCGGTGGACACGTGCTCAGGGCAGAACAACGCCCTCTCGTGAAACATCCTTGTAATCTCATTCACAGACTTTGTCTTCTGCTTGAGAGACAGAAACTCCTAGGCCAAACATTCCCTTTCCACCGAGGGAACATCCTTATCTCGGAACAACTAAGTGAAACTCTCCCACGTCACGTCAGCATGTTATGTAGGAGTAAAATTGGTAGTCACAAACTTCCACTAATACTTCTCCCCAACACAAAGTTGGTTCAGCGCAAACCGAACCCTCAAATGATCAGGGCATGAACACATATAAAAACACCCCCTCGATATCAAATATCATTATCATAACAGAAATTGGATCATGTGTCCCATCAAACTCTAGTGGCTCCGTGTTACTGAACTCCCGAAACAACAACGAGTCACCCCCTATGGCCTGGCAGCAGCATATCGCTCGTCAGAGGTCTCGATTAGTGTGGTCTTTGTTGGATTAGGTGTCTAAGCCCATAACTATAATTGGTATGTACTTGAATTGATAGCAGCACAGTCCTTTTGGGTTGCCCTCAAACCTAGCAACCGGACAAGGAAATTATGAAAGGAGAGATATTAATTTATTATAACATTAATAAATTAATATAAATGAATTTATTAATATGTTAAAAGATTAATATATTAATAATAAATCATTTGGTTTAATTAGTTGTTAGCCAGAAATTAATTAGAATTAATTTCGGGGTTAAAAGAATTAATTATAAGGTGCAGGGACTAGTTTGCAATTATCTAATAGTTTAGTGGAAGGCTCTAGAACCCCCTTGGATAAGGGTGGACGAAATCTTTAGGGGAACCCCTAATAATTTCTTCCATAGGGGCTTGGATAAGGCCCTTGGATTTGCTTAGGCCCTAAGCAAAGGATAACTAGGGTTTCCCCTAAACCCTAGATCCCTCAGCTATATAAGGAGCCTCCTGGTTCATGTTTTGGTCACTCCTTTTCTTTTGAAGAAACCCTAAGGGCCGAAATTTTTCACACTCCCTCTTCCCTCTCTCCTCTAATTCCATTCTTGCTAGTTTGGGTGTGATTCCATTAGAGGCATTACACTTGTGGTGCTAAGCTTCCAAGAAGATCAAGATCAAGATCAAGGGAATCATCAATTGTTTACTATAACAATTGAAAGGTATGTAATTACTAAACCCTAGTTTGTAGATTTCGATTATAGCCTCTCTCCTCTAGGGTTCTTGTTTGCAATTCAAAGTTGTACGTTCAATAGATAAAACATAGATCCAAAGTAGGTTGCATGTGAACTTAGGAATTGTTTTTCTAGTTTATTTGTTTTACCTAAAACCCATCAGTGGTATCAGAGCCAGGTTGTTTGTTTTAAATTGAATTGTCATAATTGTTGAATTGCAAATTAGGGTTTATAGCTATTAAACCCTAAAGGTCATTTTTTTTCGATTTTTTGGGTTATGGATCAAAGGGTTT